CTGGAGTCCCTCCTCTGGGGCAAGACTTGCTTCATGCTCACTGAGTCACTTTGACCACCGAGTATACTGGCTCCTGGATCTTTCAGGAGGTGCTAATCTAGCCTTTGCCTGAGGCTATTCAGCTGGAGCTCAGCTGTGAAGGAATGCAAGTTGCCCTGGGGCCTTGGGCCAGTTGCAAGTTTGTTAGGTAATTTTCAGCTTGCAAAAGCCTCTGTGCACAGCTTGGGCAAGGCAGGGTCCCAGGGGATCAATAGGGCGGAGCAAACAGCTATGGCTGATCGCCAGTCCTTCCCTAAGAGGCCCTGAGTCTCAGTGTCCGGGTAATTGCTGCAAGCACCTCTGAGAGAAAGCCCCCCTCGAGATGGACACGATGCCAGAAAGTCTAGCCTCTGCCCGTATCAGTCAGGGTCCCCCGAGATTCGCCCGGAACTGGAGTTCAGAGCAGTAGGGAGTTTGAGACTCCCTCTCGATTGAAAAAGCCAACCGTCCTCAGCCGCCAAGCACCTCTGAGAGAAAGCCGCCCTCGAGATGGGAACGATGCCAGAAAGTCTAGCCTCTGCCCGTATCAGTCAGGGTCCCCCGAGATTCGCCCGGAACTGGAGTTCAGAGCAGTAGGGAGTTTGAGACTCCCTCTCGATTGAAAAAGCCAACCGTGTCCTCAGCCGCCAACCCTTTCCGCGTCTGCCTCTGTACCTGTGCACTTAACTTCCACACCGCAGCTCCTCTGAGTCTCAGTATGCTTTTCTCTTTCCTTCTAGTTGTAGTATTTCCACTCAGCCAGCCTTCCTGTGGTTCTGGATGATGCCCGTTCTTTTAGTTGTATTCTTGAAGTGGTTGTGTGAGGCAGCAATCTCTGGTGTTTACCTATGCCACCATCTTGGTTTTTCTTAACTTATTTATTTTAGAGAGGAAGGGAGATAGAAACATCAGTAATGAGAGAGAACATTGATTGGCTGCCTCCTTTGGGCCCCACACTGGGGATCGCCCACAATCTAGGCATGTGCCCTGACTGGGGATTGAAACATGATCTCCTGGTTCATACTGATAGACTGATGCTCAACCACTGAGCCATGCTGGCCAGTTCAGGAAACATCTTAAATAGTATCAGTCTGCCTGAGTAGCCACAATACAATAAAGGACACACTGCATTTATCACTAAAAGAAAAACACCCAGGGAAGTTTCCTGTCAGTTTTTAGATAAACAGCCAAAATTAAAGTTTGGATCAGAATTTGTGACATTAGGTCACTACCAATCCACAGAGCGAACTGCTACTCTTCCCTCACTCTAGAATCTCACTCTAAAAGATTTCTCATCTTGGGTGTTGGAACACTTAAAATTTACACACAGAATTCTTTATATCTTTTATATGCATGTCTTTTCTTGAATCAGATGCTGATAAATGTCTGCAATTCCACAACAGTCTAAGACTCCTGCTCCAGGCTGTCCTTGGTCAAAACAGTTTAGTGACAAAGTCCACATTTTATAGCCTAGAACAAGCAACTATAAAATAGTTTCTCCACTTAAAACATTGAACTCTACTCTGTTCTCAAGCACACATGCTCTCATTCATTCGATCGGCATTTGAGTCCTACTATGTGCCAGGAGGTTTCTTTTTGCATTGAGTGTTATCAGGACTGCATCCAACTTTTGATATTTTGGGGACTCTGAGAAAAATATACAAAATCCCTAGGGCCCCTCCCAGGGCCTGTGCAAGTAAAGAGCCCCAAAACTTAATGGTAAATCTAGGTTCTGATTAATCTTATACTCAGACCATACTTTCCTGTCTTCAAGTCAACCCTCCTACCACGCCCCCCAACACACACACACAATCCCAGTTAAAGTCTATGGTTTAGTTCAGGGTCATTATGAAGTGCTATGAATTATCTGTCTCCCTCAAAGTCGTATGTTAAAGCCTAATCCAATGTGATGTTATCAGGGGATGAGTGGGGCCTTTGCTTTGGGTGGTAATTAGGTCATGAGGATGGAGTCCTCATGGATGGGATTAGTGCCCTTATAAAGCCCTCTTTCTGCCATGTGAGGGTACATCGAGAAGTCAGCAGTCTGTGACCTGGAAGAGGTTGTTCACCAGAATCAAACATGATGGCTCCCTGATCTTGGACTTCCAGCCTCCAGAACTATGGGAAATAAATTTGTTGCTTCCAAACCACCCAGTTTTTATATGTTGTTATAGCAGCCAATGACATAGACATGGTCCATTTTCCTAACCTTATTACTAAACTATAGCTTCAAAACTTAAATATTTACAAATTTTCATATATATAATTTATATTTTAAAATTTGATCTGATATAAAATTTAAATTTGTTATGACAAGGCCTATCTAAACTGATGAATGAATGCATCAATCACTTTCAGGTTTAGAATTTTTGACTTCTTCCAGGCATGAGGACCATATGCTAGCAACAATGGAAAAACTACATTCCTGATAGCTTTCATTCTGAACTAGAATTTGAAATCTAAAAAAAAAGTGGGTTCCTCTTCATATTTCTGATTCCTAAGGCTGGCTGAGATTTACTATTTCTCCATGAAATACATAAATATACCTATTATACAATTTTAAATTAAACTCAGAAACTATTTTACAGTAGAACATCAACTCTTTCTGGGTAGGTGAAAGCTTTTATATTACATTTTTATTTTGCAAGAAAATAAATTATACAACTTAAAAAATAAAATCCAAAAATTAAGCAGTTCATCAAAATATTTCAGCCTACTGCATACAGAAACTGCTACTATTTAAAATTGTACAGCGTTATCACCTCAGTATGTAGTGGCACACATTCAAAATCGTACATACCATATACGGAAAGATTACAACTTAGGAACTCAAATTTGTTCAACACTCCAGGCGACACAGATAGTGTAGATGACAGGAAAGCTTTCATGTAATGTTTACTTCACAAACATGACCTTGCAAGAGTGTGTAAATAGCATTCCAGTCATTTACATGAAAATAGAAAAACCAGCTTGAGTTTATGACAGCAAATCTTTCTGGAAAACTAGCAAATCGTTCACCCAAAATGTATTTTTTTTAATTTGCCCTTTGAGCAGGGCTAATGAAATCCTACTGCAAATAATGCATAATACTTTTAAACCACGGTCATATTTTGCATTGAATTTAATAGGAAGTAAAAATAAGAAGCTAACATTTCATTTTTGGAAATTTCAACACTTATGCACAAAGTAAGAGTAAGAGACTTAAATAGGTTGACAGAATGCTGAGACCCCCCTCCAATAAATGTAAAAATTGGAAGACTTCAGAATGTATTTCAAGATCTTCATTAAATCATTGAAACAGTAATGGTTTAATATTTATCTCGTGTTAAAATTGTTCTATATTTTACTTTGTAAGTTTTTTTCACATCTAGTTACTCTGGCAATGGGATGGTAACAAAGGTTAACGTTTCCGAGATGGCTCCATCTCTAAGTTAGAAGATAAATGTTTGAAGCTTAAATTAACCTGTGAAGAGTCCTATTGCCATACTAGTCATGGGGGGAAAAAAGGTATATAT